GAGATGACTATAATGGGTACAAAATTAAGAAAGCATATATTAAGTTCAGTTGTTCTTATTTTCCTTATGGACACCTTTTGCCTGAATAATTGGTTCTTTTTGTAAGACGGAAATTTTGTTGCAAAGTAGTTGCATAGGAACCAGAAAATTGTATTTTCCCTGGGATTCTATAAATCATAAACGTATTAGGAAAGGAAACCTTTAGAAAGCATTCTTACAAAGAGTGCCTACTTAGGTGAAGAGTAGTACTAGATCTGGTGATTATCACTATAAATTAGATGAAAATACTAAAATACTATTCTTTAATTCTTTTAATGGTTGTTTATTGAACTATCCTTTATATTGTTATTATTTTATCATTATTATTATTATTATTATTTTGAGTTGGGGGGTCTTACTCTGTTGCCTAGTCTGGAGTACAGATCATGACTCACCACAACCTCAACCTCCTGGGCTCAGGCAATCCTTTTGCTGAGCCGCCCAAGTAGTATCTGAGATTGCTGGTACACACCACCATGCCTGGCTAATTTTTTGATGTTTTATAGAGACAGGGTCTCACTATGTTGCCCAGACTGACCTCGAACTCCTGGGCTCATGCAGTCCTCCCACCCTAACCTCCCAAAGTGCTGGTATAGGCATGAGCCACCGCACCTGGCCCATATTATTTGTGAGAATGGTATAGTCATTGCTCAACCTAACTTTCCAAAATCTGGGCATTCGGTTAGCATTAAAACAACTTAAGTATGTTTTAATGCTAACAGAATGCTTAATTGCCATTATGCTTTATTTGAGATAAACATCCATTGCTTTTTATGAACTATGGAGGAAAGATGATATCACTTTTATCCAGCTTTGCACTTCCTGGTTTTGGGACTTTCTCATTTTTAATTGGGATAGTAAATCTACATATTTGGTATAATTGTTTTAACTATTAAATGAGATAATATATTATGTATTATATAGATGTAAAGCCATCAAAAAATAAAAGCTATTTTAAAATTATTTCAAGTTTTTCTAAAGAAGGACATAAATTATAAGATCACAGTGGAAGTAATTACATACTTCTCTTTCAGAGAAGTATATAACTAGAGTATCAAAGGTAAAAGTGTTCCTGAAGAACAATAGTTCTTCAACTATGCAATCTGAGCAATTCAACTATATATTCTCGATGATCAACTGACAATAGAAAGAATATGACAGTAGAAAAGTCTTGAACTATAGGTGCCTGTATGCCAGTTCCGTGACATACATGTATTCTGGAGGATTGAATTTTAGGTCTTTAATAAAGAAGGTAAGCTATTGAATGTCTAAGATTTTTTTTCCTTTTTTTGAAGAAGTTCAATGTTACAAAACTCTAGTCTAAGTCAAAGTTTTAAGCTTCATGTGATAGGTCAATAGTGAGTTCACCAGGCATCTGGTGAATGACTCACAGATGTACATTGGTTGAAATGTCCTTTTTATTTAAAAAAGTGTTATTTTTTCTTCTTTTTAAAGTGTTTTTTTGTAACAAAGTAAACAACAGTGCAGGAAATGGGCATTTTCTTAATGTCTCTTGTGTTAAGTCAATATAGTGTTAGTATTGTCTGATACTGTTCTGCTTTAATTTCATTGTGGTTATAGTATTAGAAGTTTTATTTCTCAAAAATAGTCTCCCAACTTCAATGAAGTGTGAGAACTTCAGCTTAATGGTAGGAATACTTATCAAATATTAAAGTGTAGTCTTTACCTATGACAGCATATTTCAATTTGTTATTAAAATAGAAATTTAACAATTCTATCCTAAAATAGGGGAATGAAAATATGTCTTTTTAAAATAGGAGAGTAATAGTAGAAGTGCTTGCTTTGGAATGGTACCTGAAAAGGGGTTAAATTTGGAAATAACTTGTTCATGATCTTAAAAGTTCTTGTTATTCTCTTTGAGAATTTTCCAGCAGTGTTCTCTAGCATCTCTTATATTTCCTTAGCCTCTGTGAGTCTCTTTTTTATATTTGCAATGAAAACAAAATGAACTCAAAAAGCATACTTTTTCACGTCCATTCAATTTTCCAGAATGCTGCTGCAGCAGTGTCAAAGAGACTCATTAAATGTAAAACTGGTTTTGAAGCTTCTTTTGTATTTTGTGCTTTGGTCATCTCTGAAGATACATTTGTATTTGTATTTGTATATCTGTGCTTGTAGACTATATTTATATTACTCAACATTTAAAATATTATTCAGTTGAGTTCTCATCACTATTTTTTGGTCATTTGCTTATTTATTTTGGTTTTAACTTTTCTTACCATATTTACCTTAGAAGGCTTGAATACTAAACAATTAATTTGAAATTTGGTTTTATATATATATATAATTTAAATTTAGTCTAATTCTAGAATTCAATTTTTGAAAATTATTCTGTAAAAAGCATAGCACTTAACATATTGGTAAGCATTTAATCAATATTAAGTGAGTGCCAAAGTGCATCTCAATCCACATACATTATGAAACCTTAGCAAACATCAAATTGGGATGTTAATTCTGATGTAAAGAATATCAGATATATAATCAAGTGAATGTCTTAAGCTTTTCAGATAGTTGATAATGTAGGTTTATTTAACACAGGTGCTAGCCACAAATACACATTTAATATTTAAACATTTAATGTAAACTTTAAAAAGTTGATTTTTAAGTAGCAGTAATTTAATTTTAAATCTTAGATTGATTGAATCAGTTTTGATCATTTAATAAAATAATCAGTAGCAAAATTTGACCAAAACATTTTGGTACTGTCTTCGCTTGCTGATATTCTTAAATCTGGCAGAAATGTTGATTTGTAATATAGAATTCAAATTAAAACTTTTATGGCCTAGAGAGGTACATTTTGAGATTTCTGTTCCAATCGTTAAATACAGTACTTACTTAGTGACAAGATTTTATAAAATTAAATTTTTAGTAACAATAACCTGAAAATCTTTTAGGTAACTTTAAGAATTGAGTCCCATCTTGAGATTTTCATTCAACTGTATATTCTGAAGGAACAGTTTACTCTGTATTATGGTGTCACAAGTGAAATAGGTAGACAGAGGATCTGACAACAAGTTGCAAATGGGCTGATAACCAGTCACATGACTTTAAATTATTTTTGCCCAAGTTGAACACTGGGTAAATTAGCAATATACGTCCTTACTCCTCCCTTCGCTATGTAAGATCCATGAGCTAATCTATACGAACAAAATTTCTATAAGCCTAGAGTTCCATTAGTTCAAATTATCATTATTAGGATGATCGTTATTATATTTGGCAGATGTTCTGTCTAGTTTCTAGTCTGTTTCAACTCCTTCAGCATAAATAATTGTGTAAGAAATAATTTGTTTTTGAATGTCTACAGGGTTGTTTATAGAATATGTTAAGATCTAAAAGTAACTATCAAACCATTTAACATTTTCTTATATGTTCTTTGTGTTTATTTGGCATATGTGTCCTTATATATACATACATTAAGTGCCAATAAAAACACAACTAAAGACAAGGAAGATTCTAAGTTGAGCATCTTTTCTTTATTCTGTAGTTGGGCTTAAACACTCATATGCTCTTTCTTACCTGCTCTGGTGACCTTCTGGATTAGAGTTTCAGAAAAACAACCAGAGGTAGTAGCTGTAGCAAGACAGCAGCTGGGACCATACGGATCTCAGCATCCTGCCTTATGGCCATTATCTTTGTTTCTATCTTTATGCTGCCACTATGTCTCCTTCTTCTGCTCTCCCTGCGTCCTCTCCTCCCTGCCTCCTCCTCTTCCTGACTCCAGCTCCCATGGCTCTCTGTAACTTTCCCATCCTCCTTCATTTTTCTCTATTGATATAGATAAAATAAGATTCCCTAATTAGGAAAATTAAAACTATACATATATTTTTAAAGTGCATGTAGCTATGCAGTTACTGTACCCCAAGTCCCACAACCACTATTAACAATAGAAGAAAAGTATAATATTTGTATACATTATCAATTAGAGTATATTAGATTGTAGGTCCCTTAAGGGCTGAAAAATTAGATATTTAAAATAAATGCGATGATTTTCTCATCTTTCTATGTAGGAATAGGTTGTTGCTATAATAAAAAATAATTTGAAGCTAACTACAAGAAAGAACAGTGAGTAATATTCTTCCCCCTTTCCCCAACTGCTGAAAATGAAAATCATGTCAGCATCAAGTCATTTTTGCCACATCCCTTGTTAACAGCTTTTTCAGGGTGGGTCATAATTCTGTGTTTTTGTTGGTGTCTTAACTCCATAGTGACATGTTGAAATCTTATTCCACGATGATTTTGTAGTGTGTGCATACATATATGTATATATGTATATTTTTCGAATATCTCATGAATGATACATTTAAATATTAAGTTATTATCAACTTTGTCAAAAATTTGTAAGCTTTGAATGAAGAATAAATTTGATATTATGAGAAGGCTAAGAATTGATTTTTTCTGTTTGAAATATGTGTATGATGTGTCATTGTGTATGTCTAAAGAAGTAAACTTACTGTCTGCTTGTCGCCAGAAAAAAAAAAGTGGGACCTAATCAAACTGCTGTGGGGTCAACCCTTGTGGTTTTAAAGGCCCTTAATGTTGTCCAGCTGCAAAATAAAAGGAATTGGGAGGGGAAGTTGGAAGGAGTGGAGGGGGTTGGTGGGGAGGAATGTGTGGAAAAGAACAGGGAGTCTGGCTTTTATTTTTTTTTTAAGTGAGTTCAGTGCCAGCCTGGACATTGGCTGTACAGACTATTGAGCCATTGTCTGCTCCATTTCCAGAATAGCCCCCAGTTAATCACTTCGGCTTTGAAGGGAATTTCCTCGTGGAATTCTCCACAGAAAATCTAATCAACTGACCTGCCCTCTCAACAATGGAAGGCTTTTTTTTCCTCTCTTTCCCTTATTGGGGCGGGCTCTGTAATGTAGCCTTTTGTGCAGAATGAACCCTCCCAGTAGGAGTGGAGAGCGTGTGTGAGTGACTGAGTGTGTGTGTGTGTGTGTGTGTGTGTGTGTGTGTGTGCGCGTGTGTGCGTGTGTGCAGAATGCACACTATCTCCTGTTGGTGAGTGTGTGCTTACTCCCTGACCAGATGCTGCGGTGCACGGGGCAGCCACCATCTCTGCATGCATGTCTGTGTAAGTGTCTCTCTGTGTGTGTGTATGTGCCTCTGTCATTTCATGTCAAAGGTACATTACCTGATTACCTTCCTCGCCTGCCAGATTTTTATCTAGATAATTGGAACTGCTATGGAGGCTGTGCCTTGCCAGCCAGCTTAGGATCTGTAAAGCCATAGTTTGTCCACCTTGTTATCTGTGACTGCCTGGGCAGAGGAAATTAAAGAGATCCCCAGCCAGGGGAGCGCTTCCTACCCCTGACCTCCCCAGCGATCCCAAACAGGACAGTCTGTTAGTACCATCTTTTTGTTGCTGTTTTTTGGTTTGGGTTGGGGTTTTTGTTTGCTCGTGTGTGTTATTCTGGCATGTGGATACCTATTCCCCTCCACATCGCACATCGTGTTTTATGGAGTTTGGAGCTGAGGAAACTTTGGTTGGGTTGCCAGGACGTTCGCACCACTTTGTGGAAAGCACCAGCTAACAGTGAGACCGACAGAGTGAGTGACAAGTTGTTTACAGGTTTCCTTGAAGGGGCCTCTGCTATATTTCAATCTGTCAAAGTTGCTTTTCTTCCCTCAGAACAATGCCTGATTGTTGTGTGTGAGTGTGTGAGTGTGTGTGTGCGTGTGTGTTTCCGTGTGCGCACGGAGAGAGCCTAGAAAGGGATGAGAAGAATAACAATTCTTTGTGTAAAAATGCTATTACTAACGTTTACCTTTTTTTCTTAATTAGTTAATAAATTCAGTTTAATTGGGGTTCTGTTATTGTACAGTCTTGTTTTTTAATCAGCAGCAAATGCATTTTACAGAATCATACTGGTGTGTGTGTATGTGTGTGTGTGTGTGTGTGTGTGTGTGTGTGTGTGTGTGTGACTTTTATTATTTAGAAGAGAGAGTACGAGAGACGTGTTAAATGAGTTGACTTCTCACATTCGGTGATGTCTAGAAGAGAGAATTAAAAGGAAAGGACAGGCACCCTGAGGTTGTCTAGTGCCTTGCAGCCGGAGCGCGCGGCTCTGCGAGGGGGGTGGCCAGACCCCGCTGCTGGAAGTGCGCTACCCCTTTAAGAGACTGGTCAAGGAGTCCTAGGAGAGGGAGAGGAGGGGAAGGAGGGGGGGGAGAAAGAGAGAGACAGACAGAGAGAGAGAGAGAGAGAGAGAGAGAGAGAGAGAGAGAGAGAGAGAGAGAGAGAAGAGAGAGAGAGAAGAGAGAAGAGAAAATCAATTGGTTTAGAAGGTTTGGACTCACTTGACAGGTTCAGTTGGAGACGATCATAGGTGGCTGCTGTGACAAAGGGAAATTGTGCTTTTCCAGCATGCTTACTGACCCTGATTTACCTCAGGAGTTTGAAAGGTAAGTACAGTTTTCCCCCCTAATATATTGAAGTACAACTCTCCCATTTTATAGTAGTCTCTAAATCATTGGAAGATGCTCCCTCAAACGTATTTGTTAGAGAAGCTTTTAGCTAGGGCTTCTTCAATCTTCTTAGCTGATTTTTGTTGTGGTTGCCCGGACCAAATTGAACTGATTTGCAAAGTCTCTGAGATTTCTGCTAATGTTTTTAGGTTACGTCCTATAACAGGAAATTAAATGAACATTAAGCATCTCTCCCCCACTCGCTGCTCCTCTCTTTCCCATTCACTCTTTTACTTTCTTCTTTCATAGATTGTTTTCTCCCCTTCTACACCTTTTAAAAATGCTTTTGTGCAGAGTGTTAGCATTTTCAGCATCTCTGTCTCATGTAATTTCTGAGTGACAGAAGGTTTTAGTGGTGGTTTAAAGGGAGTCTATAAGTTCCTATTTGATCCTTCCGTAAAACTTTGGAAGCTGCTCAGTAAAGCACATGACCTTTTGTTGATATGAGAGAGCAGTCTTTTTTTTTCCTCCCAAAGACAATTTAACATCACAGCTATATTTGTAGATTATTCTTAAGGTGTCAAAAAATAGGAGAAAAAGGGGGAAATGGGGCCGCTCCTTTTCTAAGTTTTAGTGTCCAATTTTGCGGTGTTTTAATTGAATTTTTATTTACTGTATTTTTCCCTTTTGCTATGATGGAAATAAGTGTATTTGTAATTAGGTTGTTCCTGTTTGGAGAAGTATGTGCAACATCCTTCTATTTGATGTTGTTGCGAGTAAAGCAGGGCTTTGAAAGAATTTTAGCCCTCTTAATGTTCCTATAAGTACACATTGCAATTTTTAAATTTGAGTTCTTATCCCAGCATAAGTTCATTTTTTTGAACTATAAATAGAATTTTGTTTGCCATTAAAAAGAATTCAAACTTTGTATTCTGTATGGTGAATTAAAAAAAAAGCTAAAAAAAGCCAGGATGCATGATACCCAGGCTTTTTTTCATTTTCATGAAAGCTACCTTCTGTATAAACATTTGTTGTATCTGACTATGCAATGCAAGCTAGGTGCTAGACCAGCTGGTTAAAAATATGCTAAGTCAAGCTGTTCATCGCTCAAACGACTGAATTTGATATGAAAAGACGAAAAAAGAAAGGACAAAGATTAAAACATTCTAGAAGTGAAGCAATGGAAGAGAAAAAGAGTATTGAGAATAAAATACTGCTTGAATGTGGTCACAAATTAGATCAGAGAAAAAAGTAAAATAGCCAACATGTATACTTTAATACTGTCTTCTTTCTTTCATTTCCTCATCTTTTCAAAATTAAAGTGCATTCTTACCAGATGATTCTAGTGAATACATGAGCTTTCTTAACACTTTTGAATTAATTTTTTCAAAGTTCCATATATTAACTCTTTAATTAGTTAGCTTTTGTTTGCAAATGTAACCTCATTTTATATGTAGGTATTAAAGTTATTCATACTGTTGCCTAATGTAGTGGTTTGGTAACAGTCTAGCATGCGCAGAGTGGCACTTAAATGATAATATTCTTTAATTCTAATTATATTTCTTGAAAATAAAACTCTGAGTCTGATTTGTAAGCCTGTTAACAGATTGTATTTATAAAAAGGTAGTTACATATTAACAGGCTGTAGCCTATTTCTCTATATAGGCAAGCTTCCTGCTGTGAACTTTATTTGTATTTTTTCAATTATCTCTTTTTAAACTAAACTTTTCCATTTCCTATTCTAATGCTCAAATCTCTTAACATTTTTTTTCTTCCTAGTAGGAATTTCTTTTTTTTTTTTTTTGTCACCCTGAGGCATGCTTTTCTAACTGGCTAATTAAATAAGCAAGTAATAATCAATAGGGTTGTTGGTATGGACATCATTTTTAGAAATGTCAGAAACTAAAATAATTTTGAAAAATGTTATAGAATATAAAATTTCTTAATAATTTCCCCTGTGGTTGTAATTGGTAGTACATACAGAAACCTCAGTAAATCGTTACTATTTGTTTACATTGAATTTGTATGGGTGAGTGTATCTGTAGTCACTCATGCATGGTAGAGTATATCATGCAGACACAATATTGAATATTTATATTTTCTAAAGGAGATAAACGTGATGTAACTACACTACCATGCATAAACAGATTTTTTTGTTTTTTTGCTTTTTACTTATTTGAAACTTTCATTGAATAAGTAGGCTATTTCTATTGACTCTTAATTTTCATTCTATTTGTTCACCTGCCATAGATGAGTTTTTCACTCAAACTTACAAATCTAAAAAGAAGACCTCTAAATTCCATTATGAGATAGAAAAACTTTTGTCTAAAGGATATAAGTTGCTTATGGTTCATAGGTTGTAAAAGTTTTATGTGATTTTTTTTCTAATTTCATTGGTAGAGTCTTGTCTATTTTTTATTATTCTTTCCAACCTGTAGACTATTTGAACCTTAAGGAATATTCAGAACTTAAATATAAGGACCAAAATGTGGTTTTTGATTTGTATGTCTGTGTTATCATCCCTATAAATGAACATTGTCAATACGCTCAGACTAATAAACGGTTGTTAAATAGTTAAGAAGTAGTAACAATTTCATTGTCTGTTAAAATGTGCAGGAGGTAGAGCAAATAGAACAGTGTTTCTAACAAGTAAAGAACTTGAAATCTTTGATTTTTATTTTCAAGCACTTTGTGCTGGTTATGACTACTGGAAAATAGAAACTCAGGTGGGAGGCAAATAGCCAAAGTGCACTTTAAAGAATTATTTGTTAGACAAGTCTTTTATATCTTATTGTTTAGAGGAAGCATAACTGGCAACATGGGTTAATTTTAGTAATAGCATCATTAGACTGAATGGTTGAAAGCTCCTAAAATTATTTTTAAATAAGTCAATGAATTTATATCTTTAACTGAAGGTTAATAATGAAAAATTGTGACTTGAGCTTTTTGTTTGAGAATGTCACCAACTATTAATATTTCTAGAATTAAAATATTTAAAGTATTTGCTTTAAATTTCAATATTTGTTTATGATGAATGAAATAGCCAGTTTTGGTAGTTTATCAGTAATACTGTATTTTATTTCCTTTATATTTGTCCTACTTGATTGTAATGTAATAGCTTATGACTAACCTACTTGTTACACTTTCTAATTGCTTTATGTTAGAGACTTAATCAAATAGCAAGTATAAGATGATTGCTTAAGAAGACAGTCTGATAATGTCTAGAAAGGAAAAAAAGTTGGGATTAAAGGTAGTGTGATGATGCAAATTAAGGTTATAGTATCACCTATTTGCTTCTCTCAAATTGGTGCAGGCAGCAGATAGCATATTTTCTAGATGCTGAAGGGACCACTTCAAGAGTTAAACCTTCTGCAATTAAATTAACTCAACTTATTTACTTTATATTCCCATAAAATTTCTTTCTGGCCATACTCACTAAATAAATAATTTTTTCTCATTAGAAAACCTTTAAGTGTTTTCTGAAGAAAAATATGCATCAGGTACTGTGACAAACTAATTTGTAAAATGCCCATGAAAAACTAGAGCCTAGCAAGAATATCTCTGACATTGTGACCATAGTAATAAAATATTTATTACACAGATAGATTTATTTAACTTAATTAGAAACTTAAAAAAAAAAACCATCGTGCTCATGAGTGATAAGTACATTCAGGTTAGTAGGCATCTTCTAGGTGTGAATGAAAGTAAAGTTACCTGTTCGCATTCTGTCACCTAATGGCAATTGCCAACCTGTAAGTTTGATATTATGTTTTTAGGATTATCTGATATCAACCTTTGATCATTTCATTTATTTTTCATTTACCTTTATAGAGGAAAAGGTGCCTACAACTGATTACAGACTAATTACCATCTGAAAAATATGCAAACTAACAGAGCTAAGACATTGGTTTAGAATACAGCTTGCATGAAGCAGTTCATAAACCATATTTCTGTCACACTCACACTAGAGTACTGTCCTGAAGATTTGACTGGAGACTTGCCCAATTACCAAGAACAATTAAGGGTTAAATATCAGGTAGCATTGTGTACTGCTTAGTGTTTTGCAGGTTTGATTGATATAGAAATCTGTTGATATTTTGATTTCTTCATATGTTGATGTGCTCTTATCTTATGTTTCCCAGTTATAATAAGTATATGTAAAAGTATTTGCCTGTTCTTAGGAAGCTTTTAACTAAACTTTGTGTATGCATCATACATGAGAGGCAAATAATAAGAACTATCCTAATCCTTAAACACATTCCTCCTGCATAGAGTTGGAAGCTATTTCATATGGATTACATTCATAATACATTTAGAAAGCAAAATTACATTCATGGATAAAGTCTGATTTTTATTGTCTATTCTTTCCCCTATCAATTTTCAGTTACCTAATGAGTATATTGTATAATGCAGATGTGCATTATGTAGGCTAAATACCTTCCTTTTTAATAGATTAGTTAAATAAGTATAACTGATGGATTTTGTTTTCTTTAATAATTTGTTATTTATTTATAATTTCAGTGAGGTTAACCAACAGCATGGGAAATAAACCAATCTAAGTTTTCATCTTGTACTAACTCACTTATAGTTCCAATATGCCAGGTCTTTGATTCAGATGATGGCAGTCTGATAAAAATATGTTCAAAGAATTACCAAAACATTAAAGATCTTCTTCCTAGTGAAAAAATTTTGTTGAACAAGAAATGCACTAAAACATAGCAAAATGTTTCTTTTTTCATTCATTCTGTTCTTATTTCCTATTCCTTGATTGATAGCACTCTCATTTATATTAAATGTAAAATATGTATAGATGTATAGATGCATAGGATTAAGTGATATTGCTAGAGCAGGAAACAATTTAAATTTGGACATTTTTTAGGAGAATGCCTCATATTCCTTCATTTTAATCAGGGACTGATAATGGTTCAGGAGAAGAGTTTTTTATTCATTCTGACCCCTGTGCTTTCTCCTGCAGTTTGAAAGCTGTTCTTCCTTTC